AAAAATATCAACTAAGTTCTCGTAAAATCCATAACCATTAAGGAAACGAGTTCTGCACTGCGAGCAATGGATGAATCTGCATCCGGAGTAGACCGTATAACACAAAGGACATCAGTCGAAGGGATCCGAGATCCAGCACGTCTTTTTAAATAGTTTATTGGCTTCAAAGCTGAATTTAGGGAGCACGCTGTGTGGTTAGGTTGCGACTCGCAACCTCTATTGAGAACTCGGCTCACTGAGGTAAACCTCGGTCATTCCGATCTCGAGGACCGTATCCTGAATGGATATATTTGGGTGTTGCTCTTCCCAACCCTGGTGTACCAGAGTTTATTGGCTTGTTCCCCTTACCCTACTTACATGAACGTTTGTTCCTAAAATCCCCAACCCTACCCGCACTGAAGATTTTCGCCCAATTTCCGTAACTTCAGACTACCCTCGTCTTCTTCATCGAATTTTATTCGTTCGCTGGATTCCTGCATTCCCAGCTGACCGTCTTCAAATTGGTTTTCTTCGTAAAGATGGCTGCTTTGAGGCCCTACGATATTACATTTCGCACTAAGATTCACACTTGAACGGTATCCCTTTATCCAGTGCTTCTCTTGACACTTCAAAAGCCTTTGATTCCATCTCCCACACTTCGCTGCTTCTCGCAGCCTCTTTCGATGCCTCCTCTTTTCTGCTACATTACCTAGTCTTATTACTCCACTGAAAATTCAATCATCAACGGTCTGAGGATTCACCCAGGGCGTGGAGTCCGTCAGGGAGATCCACTTTCTCCCTTGCTCTTCATTATGGCACTTGACGGAGCATTACACACAGTCAGACAGAGTGGATTTCCCCAGCAAGTCCAATCGATCATGCCGGTTACGCAGTTGATGTGGTACTACTTGGTCGTGACCGAAAATCCCTGATAGAACGTCTAAGGGGATTTAGGCAGAATATACATTTTTGAATATCAATAAACCACATAAAATTGATGGTACTGGATATCGGTGTTGACAGCAAAAGGGAAATTTTGTCTATTTTGAACACTGCGCAGCTCCCCTGTGGCGCCCCCAGATCCCCTCGATCCAGCCATCCGTAGAACTGCAGCTACTTGAATTAGCATTGATTAGAAGGGTAAACGCGCGTCAAACTCTCCAAACTAACTCAAACTATAGCTACAGGAAACATCTCAAGACCCGTCAAACCCTACCAGCGCATGGATATCTTGTGCACCTATTTTTTACCGCGGCATACGCATTGCCTCAAATTGGTGGTGGTGCATCAGCAGACCCTCAAATCGATAAACAGGCTGGTCCGGACAAGTAAACGAAAATGGCTACGACCTCCAAGGAAACCAGCGTCGCTTTCTTTAACACATAAATTGAGGATTATGGTCCACGGATTCCGTGCCCTTCCAGTACGATTCAATTGCTTCGGAAGGACCGCCTGGAAAGCCATCTTTCGCTCTCCCACCGAATCGTCAGCTGGAGAAAACGGGAACCTTCAGCGGCTATCATCCAGCGCCTCGCTATGAAACCTGCAATCACTGGTAATCAAGCCGTTTTTGACAGGAATGACGCGAAGGAAGCATGGAAGAATTAAATGCTAAAATCTGTAAACAGATTTTTGCTTTGGGAGGTATTTACGACACCAGTGCCTCATAACTGGATAAGAAACACCATCATCATCATCATTATACACGTTAGCTGCAGGTGGAAAACACCTCAGCTATTGTGACACAATACAAAAGACAAGAAAAGGAAAACAAACAGTGGCACATCGGCTGAGTCCCCAATAACGGATGGACATCGTTCCGGAGAGCTAACAGCTGGCTATCGTGCCGTAAAAAGAGAGTCATATTATGCCTAATGAGTGACATCGTGATTGGAGAGGGACGCTGAGCAGGAGGGGGGTGGACAAAGGAAATCACAACACAAAAGCCATTGGGGCCGGCTCCAAGCCATATCAGCAGGTGTGTCCAACCAAACTTGTTCATTGTCCTTAAGACCCGGGCCAGGCAGTCGGGATGCACCAATCGACGCCAAATGCGAAGTGAGGGTTTTCATCTCTCTCGACCAAGTCATCGCTTGGCCTCCCCTCCTCCTTTTCCAACCGCACCCACGAAGCGCAAACAATGCATATCGCGGAAGTCGATGTGCTGGCATGCGCAACAAGTGGCCCAACCGTCGGAGCCTTGTGCGTGATATGATGGTGCTGAGCGGTTCACTCGCTCTTCCTGCACCAAATACGCGACGCTGTACACACTCATTGCTCACGCGTTGCTCCCGCCAGACACGAGCTAAGCTGCGAAGGCAGCGATGATCGAATATGACGAGCCTCTTTATGTCTGTCGACCTGATGGGTCAGGTTTCACAACCATATAGGAGAGTTGAACGGACGGCTGCATTATAAACTCTGCCATTCAGGGCGAGAGTAATGTCGCGTCTGCGACACAGATGGCGGAGATTAGCAAAAGCACCTCGAGCTTTTGTTATACGGTTCGTAACCTCATCTTCAATCCCACGGGTGCTAATATAGCTGCCCAGATACTTGAATTCCTGAACGACTTCTAGCTGATCACCACAAAGCGTTAGCGCAGGGGTGGGTCCCTGTCAATCTTGGAGAAGTACTTTGCATTTCGATGGAGCAAAGCATAGCCCAAAACGATTGACAGCCAGGACTAATTGGTTCAGTGCTGCTTGGTATGTTTGGGAGCTGTCACAGATTAGGGCAATATCGTGCGCATACTCTAAGTCAAGAAGTCGCTCACCAGGAAGTAGCTCCACACCTTCTAGGTCGTGTCCAGCGAACGCTGTTTCTATGACTTCATCAATAGCGAAGTGTGGGATGTCAATGTAAGCACAGTGCTGGGATCTTGCAATCGGGTTTCTGAAAGGCAGCAGACATCAACGTCTAGGGAATCTAGGGTGCGCGCTAGACTGGCTTGCTGTCCATTCTGCATGAGTCTCCGAACGTTGAAGCACGCCAGACGGAACGAGGATCGGGGACAAAGGAGAGCCATAGATTGAACTCCTTGATCTGCGGAGCAACCGGAATCGCAG